GTCATGAGACTGTCTTAGAAAAACTGAGTGTCTCCAGTCAGAGGCTTCTTCAAGTTCGCTGCATTACAGACTGCTACAAAAGATCCTTCCTGCCCACAACCGTCACCACCTGCAGTAACTCTTTGAAGAATGTGAATTTATATGAATTTGAAATGTATTACTGGATATAAATGCGCTCCAAACTTGTCTAAATTTATCCAGGAACCGATTCCAAAAGACGGGTTTGGAATCCCCTCCGAACCACCTGGAATCTGTGTCACATTTTACTGTTATTGGAATCTAACATAAGTTTTGTTTTTGCAGGTCAGCATCTGACTCCAGGAAAAAGAGAAGATACAGGTACAGTAAAAACCACCTGGCCACCTTGTCACTCTGCTGCATTAGCATTCATCAACCCAGTCTTCTTCAGATGACGTTTCTCTCATTAATTACCATTTGTTCGCATGGGAATGAACGGGAAGTGATGTATTGTTTTTAAATCTACATGGCATCCTGTCCTTCTGTCTGACTTTTGTTTCAGGTCAGGCAGCCAGAAGAACAAGCACAAAGATAAGAACAGACAGAAAAAGAGGTGAGCCACACAGGGACTTTACTCACTCAACACCTTGTTTTCTTCTTCTTTTCCACGATTTCGCACACAAACGAACACTGAAGCAGAATGAGTGGTAGCTAATTTAGTAATCTATTAATCGTCAGCTGGAGAATTCAGACTCAAAATAGGCCATTTTCTGAAAAAACAACATTTTTAGCAGCAATGAAGCCAGAAGTGTTCAACATATATTTAAACATTTTGCGTTTAAGATGAAAACACTTTTGTCTGTAAATATGTTTTATAGTTTTACCTTTACCTGATTCAAATTCACTAAAGGAATGCTAAAGTATTGCACTGTAGGTAATAGAAGGTGTTTTTTTTTTTTTACTTATTTAAAAGGGAATTGAATTGTTTATTTGCATTATTCAATGTATTTCTAATATTGCATAAAAAGTGGTTAAATAAAAAAATCTGCAGAATGTTCAACATTTTTCATCTTATTAATAATAATAATCGATTACTAAAATAACTGTTTTGCAGAGAACATGGGCGTAGAGAGTTCATGTGTCCTGTAGAGACGTGAACAGCTGTAACTGCAGGCCTGCATAAATTTATATTGGTACTTTTTACTCATAATTAAAGACTCAAACTCAAATATAAAGTGCATATTCATATCTTTTCTTTCCATCTTGTGAGTAAAACAACGTTGGATGCGTTTAGCTCTGCGTGAAGCATTTTGGAAACTACGAGTTTGATGACTGAGTGTGCGTTGTTGTGTGTGTGTGTGTGTGTCTCTATGATGTATGCATGCTTACACGTTCCGCTGCATGTGTGTGTGTGTGGCGTGTTTGTCCATCTGCTGTCGTCCATCAGGTCGCCAGGTGACACCCCCAGCAGGGGCTCGCAGCGTCAGGGCAGCTGCTGCAGCTCCCGAAGCGTCTCCCTGTCCTCCACTCGGAGCACCTCCAAATCCCCCTCCAGGTAGACTCTTTGACACACACACACACACACACACACACACGCTCCGTTTGTTCGCACTCTGAAATTGGTCTGACTGGGCGGTTGCCCTGGTGACCGACGGTGTCTCTCTCTCGCTCTCTTTCTCATTTACTCTTAGCCCTCGGGGGAAAGATTAGGAGACAAATTGGGCTCCTCGACGTGTCTTTTAATAATGCGCTTTGAATGGTTGCAATATCTCACTGCGCATTCCTGCTTGATGAAAACGTATTCAGTGTCAGTCACGTTGTTGCTCAGCCCATGTTGGACTGAGTGTTTCACTCTCTTCTTTGACCGTATTCCAATTAAAAATGTCTTGGTCTCATTTTTTCCCCCTTTTCTCAGGTTCTGCTTTAATTTCCTTCACAAAAGTTAATTCAAATACTTTCTGCTCTTAGTGACAAAGTAAGTTTTGCCTCTGTTTTTTTCTGTTTCTACTGACTCTGCTAGAGTGTAATAAAGTTTGTTGGAGTTCTCCTTTATCTGACAGTAATAAAGAGTCCGGTTTCAGATTAAGGATTTTTTTTAGCTTTACTGCTTGACGATCTGAGCGTTTTCTCTATTATTTGTTTTCATTGTTTTCAGAGCTCCTTGATCTCTGGTTTTAAAATTTAAAAGCTCCATTTAAATAAGTGGAGCAGCTGATGTCTGCCAGCAGGCTCTTACAATTAAGATCTTTATAGTGTCTGTGTGTGGACGATAGTTTCTTTATAAATACTGCTAGAATTTCACACTGATAAGCTGCATAATTATGATTACAAGAAGTTCTGGAGCTGAACGCCACACAAATATGAATCAGGTAAAAGAAATTCCACTCTGATGTTCCAGAAACATTAGTAAACCTGTTCTAGCAGCCCTTTCTGCCCTTCATTTCCAGTAACAACGCCTCTCATTGCCTCCAATTCCAGCTTTAAGCTGACGTAGATCACCTCTTTGATTTCGACAAAAATCCTTTTAAAATCCGCTCGATAATCGATCTTACACTGTGGCAAAATCCGTACACCTCTGGCAAGAACACTTCGTACTCTGGATGCTCAGTGCTGCTTGTTTGAAACACGGTGTGAGCCGTCAATATGTCCTGTTATTTTCACATGAACTGATGCAAACTGGGCCCTCGGTTTGTCTGGGGTTGACAGCCACTGCACTCCATCCCACTGTGTCGTGACCAGACTTGGGTGGTAACTAACTACATTTACCCAGTTGCATTTACTTGAGTAACCTTTTGGAAAAATGTACAAACCAGGACAGAGTTAATTAATTAGAGTTCTGGGATTAGCGCTTGTTAAATCTTTGTGCCTCTCTTGGACAAGCCGCATTCCCTTCTGCATGCTCTGACTCAGAAATAAGTGAAATAAGTATTTTTAAAATTCAGCTCTCGGGGCGCGTTCACACCATCCCTGTTCGGTTCTCTTCAGTCGAACTCTGGTTGGTGTGTCTGGAGTCCGGTCCGGTTGGGAGGTGTGTGGATTAAACTCTGATGTGGACCCAAGCAAGCAAATTCTGCTCTGCCTAAAAACGTAGGTCTCTCTTCGGTAGAAGTAAATTGTGCTGCATGTGTGAATGCCAAGTGGACCGGAAACCGCTCCAAGAGTAGGAAGCGAACTGTAGCACATGGCATTCTGGGTAAATACAGTCAAAACGAACGCATATGTCTGGCACTAGTGAAGAATAAGAAGAATAAGAAAAAAAAATATCCTACAACTGCTAAAATCTGACTCCTGACATTTTGTGAAGCAGGTAGTTGTGATTGTCTCCACCCGAATATTTTACAAGCTTTAATTCATTTATATGTTTGTCCAGTAGTGAAAAGCAGTTTGTAAACCAGCCTGTATTTTTGTTTTCTCTTCCAGACTGAACCCGAAGCACAAGATGGACGGACAGAAGGCGTCGGCCGCGTCACCGCCTCCGGCTCCGAACAATCCCGCCAAGTGGCACAACGGGGACCACACCCGGCGGAGCCGCAACGGCAAGGCGGCCAGATTCACACACGCCGAGGGCGAGAAAGGGAATGATGTATGTAATCTCCTCTACTTTGACCCCACCCTCCCCCACCCCGACCTCCACCCACCACACCTTCAGTGGTCTCTGCTACAGTCTCTGCAAAGCGCTCGACTTGCTCTCCCGCGTTGGTTCACATCAGCTCTCGTCAGCTAGACGCGAGGATTAGGAAGATTTAGCTGTGAACTTTTCTCAGGTTTTTCTGGGATGTAAACAAGGTCTGAAGATTATTAACACAAATATTTTTGACATGTAGACGGCCCTATGTGTGAAACTTGCTGCTCCTGCTGCTTTGTTTCTTTCACTCCTCTGCCATCATGTTGTTGTTTTTTTATTTATTTTTTTTTGTCTCTTTTGGTAGATTTTGGGGTTTTTTTTTGTTTGTTTGTTTGTTTCTATGTCGGTGTTCTGCCAGTGACACAGTAGGGGAGCAAAGAGATGGAAGATTCCTGTGCTTTTCGTCAGTACACTAGTGTACGACACCCTGGATGGTAAATTTAAACACGCACGAATTGTACCAAATAAACAGGTGACTAATAATCTCTAAATTAAGCAGCTGCTGTCTTAAACATATTGGAGGAAAATAAACAAGTTAAACATTTGCTGTGTCATATTTTAATGGTTGAAAATACAACGCTGTTTCCAAATAAACAAAAAAAAAAAAAAGAAAACAGATAATGCAGAATGGGACAGTAAATCATTTTTATGGTTTATATGTTATATGTTCATATGTTTTTATAGACAGATCTCAGTTTTTTTCCTCTCATAAATGAATCATTTCACCGATGTTTTTACTACAGGGAACAGCAAACACATCCATGAGGGGTACTGCTTCTGCTGTGGAACCCAAACCCAGATAAATACTAAATAAAACATGCAGATCTCAAAGAGTAAGGAGAGCGTGCAAAAAAAAAAAAAATGTGACAGAGAAGGACAAGGAGAGATGGAGGAAATGTAACTACAGATCAGCTGACATAAACACTCTTTGCACTCAGTCTTGAACTTCTCTAAATGCAGTGAGGCTAACACTTTATTTGAAATACGCTTTCAGACAAATTGCTGAACAATTACAAGGAGATGATAAAACTTTGCTGTTTAAAAGTACCAAGAAAAGCAAAACAATAGGGATGAAATGAAGGCAAAGTGGACAAGTGGGTCTTTAAATTGACAATTATTGGCACAAAATATTTTTTAAACATTACTTATGGCTACATTGCACTTGAGAATAGTTATAGCTACTCTGAATGCTGAGTTCTGTCATTGATTTTATGAGAAAGATATGAGAATTTAGTTTAAAGTTCCAGACAAGAGAAGCAGCCCAACATACCAACTCTTTTAGAAACGGAGCAAAACCCCAACAGTAAAACATGGTGTGGGTGGTGTGATGGTCTGGGACGTGTTACTGTCTCAGGATCTGGACAGTTTGCTGCAATTCATGGCATTCATTCATGAAAACCTTCCAAGATGGCTGAAGTAAATCAGTCCACAAAGAGGAGTGGGTTGAAGTCCCTCATATTGATGTAAAAAACTGTATTTGCTAAAGCGTCGTGGTGAATGTTTGCAATAGTTGCTCAATCATTTATGACGTTAATATATGTGATTACTTTTCATTTTTGATATCAAACCTTGTTTGTCTGATGATGAAACAGCAGAAATCTGCAGGAGGAAAAATGCATTTTGTATTTTCTATTCAGATATGACACAGTAAATGCAAAGCTTGTGTGAAACAAAACAAATATGCACAGAATGCTCCTAAAGCGTAAAGAGTCACGTATCAGACAACCGGTCCTCGTTTGTTTCCTCCAATGAGCTCTAAACTCCTGCATTCATTTCTGAAAACCACCTCCTTCCTATAAACGGATCATTAAAGCTGCAGCGGGCTCCCAGGAGACGTGGGAATGAATTTAAAAGGGCTCAGTCGCAGGCGGGATCCAACAGCAGCTGATGGTGAAATACCATTTCTTTGATGAAAATGTCTCTAAACTTGGCTGCACGCACTGTAAACACTTCGTCCTGAGAGCTGAAATCCCCGTTTTTCTACTCCAGCTTGCATGTGTCTAAAAGGTCTCATCTGATCCCTGTTCCCCCCGCCCTCCCTTTTCCTCTCTCTGCTTGTTTCATTCATTGCTGTTTTTATGTTTTCTTCCCCCTTCTTGGTTCACATAATATTTGCCCGTGAATAAATGCCCAAATCTCTCTTGTCTTGTCTATGTAAAAAGCGCTCATATGCTTTGGAACTGGATCAAGTAGGTTAACTGGGTACGTGTCATAGTTTCTTCTTGTCAATGCAGTTGTCTTTCCTCTAAAGGAGATAGTTCCTCTTCTCTTCCAGGCATCCGACAGCTCCGCCAGGCGTTATGCACATGCTCCTCCTTACCGCTACTGCACCTCACCATTTCAGTGTGCACGTTTCCAAAAGGTGGCAGGTGCCGGTCGCTTTCTAATTCATGCGTTGAAAAGTCTCTAAAGAAGTGGGGATGGAGTAAGAGAGGAGCATGTGATTTGGCCACGATTTTTCTGGCAGCATCTTTAATAGATAATCTGATGCTGCCACTATGTAACACAGCCGAGAGTTAGAAGAGTTTAAAAAAAAAGCTACAGTGTCTGACTGAAACGACAGATTCTTCATCTAACCAATGTTTGATTTTCTTTTAAATATTTTTTTTTATTGCTGAAGCTGTGTGATTCTTTGGTTCTCCATCAGCACAGTTTGTGTCCCTTTGGAGCCATCTACCCACCATGCAGGAGGCAGAACTTGGAGAAGCAGCTAACAAATAGAACAGCTCATCAGTCGCTCCTCCCTTTTTGAGAAACCTAAAACATGTTCAAATAAGAGATTCTGCAGCAAATAGCAATAAATACACTTGACAATTTCTCATATTTTGTCACATTACAACCACAAACTTCTGACGCATTTTATTAGAATTTGGTCCGATCAGGTAACGGAAGCCTTTGCTGTGCAAAGAGCCATTTTTACCATCAGATGTTTTGAAAAAGAAAACTTCTCATTTCTGACAAATAGACACAGTTGGAGGACTTAAAATAAAATGAAAACCAGCATAAGGCGCTTGCAAAAGTAAGACAGATACATTGTCTTCTTTAGGATGTTATGTTGGAAAACGATGTGGAAAAAAAGTCAAAGTCCAGACCGAAATACAGCTGAGAACTAGTGGTTTGACTTCAAATTTGAGCCTTTTTGTAAAAACGAACGGGCAAAAGTGCCAGTGTCTATGTGTGCAAAACTGGTTACATATAGGAGCCAAAGGTAAATAGAAAGATGGATGGGTAGAGGCACAAAAATAAGTTTTATTGCTACAATGTTTTTGAAATGCTTGCAAAGTGGAAATGAGACGAATCATTAGGCGAAATGGATTCTTTTTGTTTAAACTCTGCAGCTGGTGGTTCAGGCAGACATGCAGCCCATAATCTGGTGAAATATGACATCACATCAAGGACGACCTTACAGGAATGCAAGCAGATTGGCTTTTTTTTTTTTTAGCTTGGTAGATGAAATGTGAGCCTCACATTGTCCTCTTACGGAAGCTGGGTGTGTGACACTTTCCCAGCCACAGGGGGGCACTAGAGGGTTAATTTCTGATCAGACCAGCAGACTGAACCCACAGAGATTCACAAATAATTTGTAATTTTCTAAAAAGTGCTTTATGACACCGCGTTTTCAAAGACAACACTGTTAATTTGCGAAGGGACTAGCAACCCGTTTGCTCCTGCTTCTCCCCGTTTCCCCACGGCGTTCTGCCTCCTGCTTGGTGGACGGACGGGTCTGAAAAGGAGCCATTTCTGTTTTCCCTCCTTATTAAGGAGTATCCAAAAAACACAATAAATAAATAAATCAACACAGCCTCAAATAACTTTGGCATCTAATACCTTTATTAACACGAGTGATGATGTTAAAAAGGGACCCAAGCCATTTGAGGTGTAAGCTTTGGAGAGCATGTTGCTCTTTGTTGCTGCAGTCCTGCTTATAGTTTTAAACATATTAAATGCTAAAAAGGGTTTTTGTAATGGAGCTGGGCCAGCATCTAAAACATCCTGATCTGGTTCACTGCTGCTGCTGCTGGAGGAGCCCCCGGGGCCAAAATGTGACTGGGGTCCCTTTGAAATGTGCTGACTCTTTAGTTTGTCCATCTTAGCAGTGACTTCCTCCTCCTCCTCCTCCTTCTCATCCTCTGCTACCTGTTCATCTGCGTCCAGCGTGACTCACGTCTCACTCGTTATTTTTCTTCCCACATCTCTTTCACATCAGCCAGCTCTGCATGCCCTCCTCCTCCTCCTCTTCCTCCTCCTCGCTCCACTAATCTAATTAACTCTGTCCCTCTGTCCTCCCCTGTTTTGATACAAATATGGCTGCATTTGTACAAGCGAAAAAGACAGCAAATCATGTAGTCTCTAGTTTCATTCTTTGTTTCTGATTTTAGTTTGCTTTTGAATTCCATCTGGATTCTTCTTTTTTATTTTATTTTATTTTTCCCTCTATTTTCTTTCGACTTTTTGTTTTGTTTTATTCCTCCTCAGTCTCTGGACTCAAATATGTAGCTGTGATACTAAAAGAGGTCATTGTCTTTTTCCCATTTCGCTGCGGAGAACATTCCTTTCTCCCCTTTTTTTTTCTTTTTTTCTTTCTTTCCTTTTTTTTGTTGATATTGCATACGTGTCACTGGTTGAAATGGAAGGTAGGTAACGCTTTGCCTACGCACGTGATCTTTATGCAGATGAGAATGTGACAAGCACCCTAGCCTGAGTGACGTCAATGTTTCTCTCTCTTTCTCTTCCTCTTTCTTTCTGTTGTTGACCAATGATCTCTAACTAAATCAGTCTGACTTCATCAATTATGATTTGACTCGTGAGAGATTGGATTACATAGAGCTCTGGTTTTTCTCTTTACTCCTTAACCTCATCCAGACGTCCACTATCCCGCTCTTATCTTCCAGGTCCCATTGCTTTACTTTACTTTACTTTCTGTTTTTGGTAGAATGCATTCTGTTTGTCTGGCATTTCTCTGTTTGTTGGTGAGTTAGTACATTCGTCTTTTGAGTTCCTCCATATTGATTTTTTTAGTTATTTATTTATTTATTTACGACAGTTTCTGACCGCCATCACAATCACCAGTGGTTGCATATTTTCTGACTACGCCGCTTAGTTGTCTTCTCTCCCGTGGAGAACGGCTTCTCTTTCTGCAGCAATCAGTCGGTGCTTTTTGTCCTATCTTTAGTTTTACTGAGCTGCTCAGTCCGTTGATAATGCATGCTGAAGATCCTGCTAAATTTGCTTTTATATGAAACACACTTTGGAGGTTTGCTCTCTTTCTATCTTTTTTTTTTCTTAATAGCAGAATGCATTAAGAGTTGTAGTTCCTAAGCGCCCTCGTGAATCTCTAATCTAGGTTTTATTGTTGCTGAAAGCTTAAAACACGAGACACTGTTTAAAGGATAATGTCGACATCGACGTTTTGTTTCCTCTGACGAACAAATCTTTTGAAAAGACCAAAACTAATGTTTGTGTTTCTTAGTTGGTCCCTATGGGTCCTCTGATGCATTCAGCCCTTAAAGAAGCTCCAGATTTTTTATTTTTTTTCAAAGCCATAATAGTCCTTGTTGGTAAAATATTTTTTTCCCACAAAGTACATTTTAAGAAAATTCTTTTAAAAACTCATAGTATTGTTTGGGATTAATCTTCACAGGGGTGTGGGGTTGCATTTTATCGCGATATTTTGTGGCATTATTGTGATGACAATAAAAATTAAGATTAAAAAAAAAGTCTAATGGCTGTGACCTCATAGCACTGCAAACACAAATACTGTCTCTGAACAAAACCTTCAAATTCAAAACAGGCTTTTTCAGGACACCAGTTACTTAAAGAAGAGTTATTTATGTCATTTTTGTTAAACTTTTATTTGATAAAGGTCTTTTGTTACTAGATGATTTCAATCTGGTTATTAAATAAATGATATGAACATTAATATTTTACCTGTAAAATAATATTGATGGCAGTAGGAAAGAAATCTGTACTTAAATACAGGATCTGACTTTCATGAACTACCTTCACAGAGTATCAAGCTACAGACAAACTGACGTTGGTATCAGTGCTGAAGCCTGATATTAGCATCTCTATTGTTATTAGCTAACACCAAAGCAACCAAAACATCATCAGAGATGTGTTTGATGGAAAGAACCATTGTTCATAAGGTAACACGGATAAACAGCAGCTAATAGGTGCTTTAGTTTGGTTTAACATGATGGATTATTTGTTCGTTTTGGTTCTTTCAATGGGTTTGTTCACATGAAAATAAATAAATAAGTTTTCCCACATTTTGTCATATTACAGCCACAAACTTCAGTGTATTATACGAATGTTTGGGTCTATCATAGTGTATGACTGTAAAGTAGAAGGGAAAGCAAGAAAAAAAAAATTTGCCACTGAAAATTTCAAAATGGCCGCCACAGTTATCACAGATAAATACTTTCAGTGTCAAATTATGCATAATTGGACCCATAAAAAATAATTATGTTGTTATTTTTGTTGCTAGACAACTTTTCAAGACGGACACCGTGGTTGTCCTGGAACTAAATGAATGTGTTTGGTGCCAAACGACGCATAGTTATGCACATTTTGAACCATAGAAATTAAATATATTTTATTGCTCTCTGTTTGATTTATGGTTATAGTGAAGAATATTATATATTTGATATTACTAGTGGTGGTCACAGCTAACCAACAAGAAACGTTGCTCTGCTAATGCTAATCTGTTAAACATATAAGAAATGAGTGGAAGCTAATGCTAAGCATGAAGATGACTGTCGCTCAGTAACTTTATTAATTTAAAGTTGTATGAATATCACGGCCAAAGTCAAAAACATATAATGTTGCATAAAGTTTATCCAAGTTGTGAAAATAGGTAACATTTTTATGCCAATAATTACTTTAAAAGGTTAAAAAACGGCAGCCATTTTGGAAAACAGCGGTCATCCTGAAATTTAAGAGGAAAACATGACAAATACACAAGCATACAAACTATTATGCTCGTTTCTGCATTTGTAATATTTTAAAGTAATATGCTGCACTACATGGCAAGTTGGCTAAGACCTGCTCATCTACTCAAACTACAAAAACAGAGCAAGTAGAGAAACAGACAAGCAGTTTTCAATAAGTCATGTAGGAAACACCATAAACATGTTGATCTGATCAGCCGCCGAAAATCATTTTATGTGCACTACTTGGTGTTAGTCTGTCGCATAAAGCAAATAATACTGTTTATGTTTGTGATATGACACAATGTGGAAGGTCTTTGGATACTTTTGCAGAACTTTATGTAATAAAACCAGCCTTACCCTTGTAAACAGTGTATTGCAACCTTTTTTTTTATTTTAAGAACTGCTTTTCAATGAAAAAGGTTTCATTTTTACTCTTCTATCACTACAATGGAGGTTTGCCAGCTCCAGCAATCTTGGATGAAATGCTCTGCAGCTTTCTGCTGGAGCAGCTCTCTGGAAATAAAGACGGCTGTTTTTGTAAGAATTAAAGTCCTGGTTTAAGGGGCTTCATGAGCCCAGATGCTGAAGTAGGTAACGTCCAAACATTTCAGGTCCTCTGTAGACAGACAGAGAGAGAGAGAGAGTGTCTTATTTCACCTTTGAACCAGGCGGCTGCTGCGGGATTTTTAGGAAAGCGCCAGGGTCCGGAGGATTTACGCTCTGTGTGAGGGACTCCCTGCACATTGTGGTTTCTCCTCTTTGCTTTTCAGTTCTTTTCTCTTGATTTCCATGCATTGTCTCATGAGTCACTGGCAGGGAAGGGTTTTGTGTCTTTTTCTCTTGCATTTTGTGAATCTAATGATGCACTTATGTTGCCCCACTTTTCCCTTTTCTTCATACCTTACCTACTAAAGGAGGGAATACCACTTTATTGGTAAGTGGATGTTAACCAGAAGGGAGTTAAACAAGAGTAACCATTAAAAAAAAAAAAAAAAAGAAAGAAAATGGGTCGCTGTTCACATCTCAGCAAATGTTCTCAGGAAACACACAGAGAAAATTGAGTAGCAGTCAGTTTGTTTTCTGATTCAACTGATTCAATAATTGTGATCTTTATTTTGTTCCTTCCATTTCTGTGATGTTTCGTCAAGTTGTCTTCTCTTCCTGTTTTGTTTCATTTTTATTTTTTTAGCCATTACTAAAAAAAACTTAAAAAAAACTGAAGAAGTCCTCTTTCTATTCTCCAGAATCTGTAGCTCTGTACTTTCTGCCTCTGCTCTAAAACTTACTTGGTTCACTTTTTCTTTATTCCCTCTCTCTTCCTAGTTCTTTTGTTTGTTTTTGCGATTCTTATTTATTTTTTTTCCAACTCATTATGGTTTTGCATGTCAAGTATTGCATGCGCTGCACCATAGAGGACTATCTATAAGCCATATGGAGAAAACCTAGATCTTTTTTCTTTTAGATGTTTACCTTCTTTTGGCAAGTAAACCGTAGCTCTTTATCACCAGCCTGAAAACTTTCTGATGCTATTTTTGTCCTATTTCTTTTTTTCTTCTTCTTCTTTTTTTTTCCTTTGTTGGTCATAATTTCTCTGCAGAAGCTGCGTCTGCTGAATGCAAGCTCTGCAGGCATCCAGTCCACTTTACTAAAAGAGCAAAAGCTCCACAGCGCCCCCAGCAGGAACCAAGCCGAAGAGGCTGGGAGTGTGGATGGCAAGATTGCAGCTGTCGGGAGCTCCTTAACTCAGACGTCAGGGAGGAGAAGCGGCCAGAGAAGGAGCTCCCACTCCCCCGATCACAGCAGCGACTCGGCCCACTCCCAGCACAAGCACGCTCACAAAGGGAGGACGTCCCGTCATCAGCGAAGGCGAGTCGTTTTCTCGCTTCTCTCACTGATCAGCCTTCCTTCCGCAGGGTTGTTAAAATCTGTTGCATTCTGGAAAGAAGTGAACAGAGTTATGCATTTTCATAATTTCCTAATTGTCTTGATTTTAAAATGAAGTATCCAGGATAGAAACTTTCACAACTTAATGGAATAGATCTGTGGGGGGGAATGGACGTGCAGCATAAACAACTGTTAATGAAGGGTTGAAAAATGACATTTTCTGTGAAAAATATGCCCGAAAATGTATGTCTAATTTTATTTAAGATAAATGAGGGACTACATAAACTACAAAAATGTAACTTTATTTTTTTCTTTGGAAAATTTCTCATTTGCATTTTATTATGGTAAATATATTGTTTTTTTATGCTTTTTACAAGAAAACAATGCACAAGTTAAAAAGGAGAAAAACCATTTACATTTTTGGATCGATCTGCTGGTTGCATTGTGGCTAAAAAGTGTCGATTGTGTGTTTCATTTGATTTATTGATTTTATTTCAGACACAAAAGTCAACAAAACAGAATACATATTTACATTCATAAACCCAAAAAAAAAAAATTAATTAAATTGTTGCATTTTCCCTCAGGACAAAAGGTGGCCACTCCTCCAAGCGTCACAACCGCTCTAACCGCGGTCCGGCGCACCACAAGAGCCCGTCGGTATCTCCGGGACGCCACTCACACGTGTCGAGTAGGAAGAACGACGAGTCTCGGAGCAAAGCCAACATCCGGCAGCGCAGCAGCTCCTGGAGCAGCGGCCGCTCGTCCTCGCGCTCGGCCTCCAGAGACAAGGGCACCGGCAAGGTCAAGTCCCCGCACAGCAGACAGAACGTCTCCAGGTGAGACCCAGCGGGCCCGTCGGGACCAAGGACTCGCCGTCTAGATTCGTTTCGCTGCTGCCGCTCTGACGGCCGACTGTCTGTCATGCAGAGAAAAGGACAGCGCCAACCGCTCCGACACCGACAGCCGAGCTCGGCGCCGCTCGCGCAGCTACTCGCCCATCAGGAAGAGAAGGAGGGATTCGCCCAGCTTCATGGAGGCTCGGAGGATCACCAGGTAACGCCTTCTTATCACCAGAGTAAACATCCTGGTTTCTATCAAACAACAACATGCACAGCCGTTAAATAAAATGTCCTGCTCATGTGTTAAAATGTCCAGTGTGTTCAACAGCTTCAAGAGACGCCATGCAAAAGGAATTAGGAAGAAACTTGGACTTTTTAACATAATATTTCAGGTTAATCTTTAGTGGATATGGATGGCATAGATCAGACACCTTGCCTAATTATACAAATAGAAAGGAAAGACTGTAAACTATGTCCAGGAGGAGTGAATGATTCAATCTGACGGGTCCTTAGAAACTTTTGAGACCCTAATTTATCATACTGAGCTATTTGATCAATCAGAATGTAAGTATGATTGAATTGAAAGTTTTATTTTTTTTTTGAGACGACCTTTGTTGTGAATTAGCGCTATATAAATACAAATGAATTGAACTGAATTAAAAAATAGACCAACTGCTTCAGGACTGACTGAACCAAAATATGTATTTAATGTATGCATAGTTTTTTTCCAGATGCCACATCAGGGAAAAAAACAAACTCTGGTTTGAGACCACCGGTTTATGGTGAAACTGTGTTTTCCCAGCAGTGCAGATTGGGGCATTGAGAGGTTTAGAAACGCAGCTGTAGCCACTGTGGTCAGTATGTTTTGCAACAGTAGGAGTTTTTTCTTTTACCTCACCAAACATACCACTCTATGTAATACTTTGGTAATGAGAAAACTTTTCATAGGTCACCAGTTAAAATTAAACTGGCTAATGTTGATTTGCACATAGCAGCAGGATTGGTTTCTGAATACCGACAGACTTCAGCTGATTTCTTGGGTTTCTATGCCTTTTCCTCATTCGTACTACAATTTTTTCTATGTGATTACAATTTGTTACACATAATTTATGGATCAATGTTGAGTTCTTGGTTCAATTTGATTGCAGAGATTTTCCGTGAATTTCATCCCAATAGGAACATTAGAAATGTTTTTACTGAGAAAAACATGTTTGGCATAGTTTTCATCTGCCATACGTTTGGTTTCTTCTTCACTTTAAAGCAGAGGTTCCCAAACTGTGGGGCGCGCCCCCTAGGGGGGGCGCCGTGTCATTGCAGGGGGGGCGCAGGAAGCCATCAGGATGAAAAAAAAAACATGAACACTGTATGCGCTGGGTTTTTACCTTAGAATGGCCAACTCTCTGTTATAACTATGTCAATTTGATACAGTAGAGGCTTCCACACTTCCCATATTTGTGTCCTCTGTCACTTTTATCAGCAGTTAAAACTGTTTAATCCGTTGTTAACATGTTGTAACCTGTTTTTCCGAGCCGCCTTTAAACGCAACATGAGCGCTACGACGCTGAGTTTCCACCTGTGAAGGAGACCTGCTGCTGCTGGGCGGAGCTACGTAGGTTTGTGTTAGAATCACGGCAGCAAACCAGCAAAACGCAAAGAACTTTTCACAGTTTTTCCCTCCAAACTAACCGACTGAGTTGAGTAAAGCTGTTGGATGCTGTTGGTTAGCTAAAAGATGACTAGCTAATATCAATACAGAACCTTTAGCTTAACAAGTACCTTGTAGGCTACCGATGTTGGTGTCTATTTTCAGCTACGTACATTCATTTTGCCCCCAAAGAAGTCGATGCCACCCCCCCCCCCCCCCCCCACCAACCTTTTCACCCAACAACCCTTTTAAATCCCCGGGGGGCGCC